CACAGTTCTATGGTGGATGAGCTCTGTTCAGGTTTCCCAGCCCAGCTAGGACTGCCTGTCCTTTCTGTCAGCATTCTACACAGGACAACCTCCACCAGAAATGCAGTGTGGTACTGGGAAAAAGAAAACACAGTAGACCCGAAGACAGAAGACTGAGTATTAACTGAGAGACTGACCAGGTCACCAATTCACTAAAACCTCAGTTTCAGCTTTTGTAAAATGGGGATTGCAAAAGTCACCTCATAGGGTGCTATGAAGGAAACAAATGAGATCATGAGAGTGAACATAATGTCTACACTAATAAAAGAGAAAGATACAAATTGACCGTACCTTTGCAACGCCCACCAGCCAATCAGGAGTGAGTATACAATTTAACCCAAGAAAGATGGTGGGTTAATTTGCACATGCAGGTGCTGAGCAGCCAGGGGCAGGGCAGGATGCTTGCATTCCTCACAGCCCCCTGCTGCTCCGGGCCTCTGGGCAGCGTGGGAAGGAGGAAAAGTGGTTCTGGGCCTGAACAAAGGCCGAAAGGTGGCTCCAGGCTGGCACGAAGGCAGAAAGGCGGCTCCGGCCAGAGCGAAGGTGGTGCCAGCAGCCAGGGGAAGGAAGGCCCATTCTTGCACAAATCTTCATGCATCAGTCCTCTAGTTGAATTATAAACAGAGAAAGAGGGAAAAGGGGGGAGAGGGAAAAACTAAAAATATCTGCCTCCCTCACCATTTTATGCTAGCAGATAAAATAAAATGTTCAGACAGGAAGCCTAAAGAAGGTAATTCAAAGTACAATATTCTTAGACACTTTCCAAGGGGAAGCCACTACGCTCTCCAACCTGCTCAAGAGCTCAGCCTGCACAGCGTGTTGGGAGCCCTGAGAGCCTGGGGCTCTGCACCAAAGCGCTGGGACTGACCTGCAGCAAAAGACCAAAAGGCTTCCCTCGTGTCAGTCCCAGGAGGATACAGACAAGGGCAGCTGAAGGACAAACATCGAGAGTGGGTGAGACAAACACCTCAGGCCGTGAACTTACTTTATTCCCTTGGTAGATCACCTTCAGCAGAAAATTCCAGAGCTTTGTGTTTTCTGCTTGGTCCCCCTCAAATGGGAAGTTCTGCTCAGAGGCCCAAAATAGAAAACGGGAAGTTAGCAGAACTGATTTTCCCAATTCCCCCAAAGCAGATCACTGCACCTTGATGGACGAGGACTATCATGGTAAGGTGCTCACCCTCTCTCTGAAAGGAGGTAACACATCGATTTGCCAATTGTGTGCGGAAAACGGCCTGCTCCCTGAAGACAGGAACAACCTAGCAGCTTCCTTCCTAAATGAAGAAGGAAAGCAGTTGCATTGACAGGGAAGGGATACCCAGGGTGTTCCCATCAGAACCAAGCCGCCACTAAAAGTAACCAAGTGCCCCACTTTGATGCAGACACCAACCTCTGAGCTGGCTCCGTACAGGCACTTTCCTTAAAGGGCGAGGACTGACGTAACTCCCCTCCCAACTTCCTCATTACTGTTCACGGTGTCAGTATTTCCTTAGGGCCCTGTGTTGGAAACTTTCAACTGGAAGTGCCAGGCTTCATCCCTGTTCCTGCCTGTTCAGTTAGTGTCCAGCCGTATACCGTCAGGTGCATCTCATTTGCATCAGGCACAAATTCAGCTCATTTTCCTATCACAGCTCAACTCCGGTTTGCCACGCCTCGTCATTTCCTCCGCTGTCTCTGGTCTGGATACCTAGCACCCATCTCTTCCCTCCTGCCCTCTTGCACGAGGCTGCCAGATGAGCCTCCTCCGCAAACTGATTGCTCACATCATCCCCTTGTTCCAAGGTCTGCCGCAGCTCCCGACTAGTAACCAAATCTAAATTGTTCACAGTGGTCTGGCCATAGCTACCTAGCGCTTCGGCAGCTTGTTACAGTGGGAAGTGCCTGAGCTGGGTGCCAGATGCCTTGGGGGAGAACCCAGCCTAAGGAAGCGTTAGCACACAGGGGCTGTGTGGATCTGAGCAAGTTATGAAACCTCTTGCACTGGTTTCCTCATTCGTGGAAAGGAGATAATAACACCCACCTACACAGTGACTAAGGATTAAGTGGGATAACGCTTACAAAGTGGTCACGGTGGGTTCCAATAAGAAAAAGAGTAATTAATGTTTGTGGAGTGCTCACTGCAATCCAGGCTCTGTTCTGAGTGCTGTGCATGTCCACATGTTTACGCAGGTATAACTACTATCCTCCTCAGACAGAAGAGGAAATTGAGGCAAGAGAAAGTGAAATCACTGAAACCACATAATGACTCAGTAGAAGAACCAGTGTTTGAACTCAAGCAGTGTGGTTCCAGAGTCTGCATACTCAACTCCTCGCTACTCCCCCTCCCTCCAGCTTCCACCAGCTAACACTGCCCACATAGCCACTCCGTCCTCTGCATCCGTCCCGGCTTCGCTCCACAGTCCAGTCTCCCCTGATGGGTGCCATGCTGCACTTCCTCTCCAACCTCACCAGACGTCTTAAAAGCAGTAATTGCATTTCCTCTGTACTCAAGTATACCATCTCTCTCCTCTTTATTTTGCCTTCACTCATATATCCGCTTGTAATTGTTCTCCAGTTCTTTCTGTAATCTATTCCCAGAAACTGCATCAGAAAATAGACCACATCTCTAAATTCCAGGGTGTCCCGAAAGAAACATGTTATTTACACCAACAGCCCAGCTGCCATGACCAAGCCAGATCCCCTAACTTCCAGTCACTTCCCCAGCAAGCACTTACCCAATATCTGCCATGTTCAATTCACTAGGTGAAGATGGCATGGGCCCTGACCACCAGGAGCTCACAGTCTAATGAGGAGACCGTATTTATGTAGAAAGTTCTAATGAGTTGTGGTCAGCACAAAAATACATGCTGCCAATGGCATCTCCACTTTGGCTCTTCTCACCATGGCATTTCCCACGTTGTCATTCACGGAGGCTGTCACACTGCCCCCTTCCTTTTCATCTCTGCTGCCACCCTGTGGTAGACTTGCTCCTCACCTTGTTCCTGAACTTGTGCAATCACTTCCGGACTTATCTCACTGCCTGCCTCATTCTCCAGCCCCTCAAAACCAGCCCACCTCCCACTGCAGAAAAACCTATGTTGTCACTCTCATATGTGAAAACCATAAAGGATGATGAACCAAGTGCAAGGTCCTGAGCCTGAACGGACAAAGCTGCCTGGGAACAAACCTGACTTTTTATCCTTGCTTTGCTCCATTTCCCTCCAGATAGGTATGCTTCACCTCATATACCACACCCAAGAGAAAACTCTTGCGGTTCTCCAAAAATGATTCACCTTCCTATTCCTATTGTGTCCTTTGCCGCCATCATTATCCCTGAAATTCAGATCAAGTCACCTCCTCCAGGAAGCCTTCTCTCATTCTCCCACAATGTGTGATAGATAGTTCCCTTCTCTGATTTGCTTTAGTCATGCAATTGCAGCTCCTTTAATTCTGCCTTGCATTACAAGCATTTGTATGTTTTCTCTTACGGCCTCTGTGTCTTTAGGACAGAACTTTGTCTTTATGATCTTTGTTCAATACAGCACCTGTTATGCCTCAAGCATAATGTGCTGAATAAATAATAAATATGCTCTTTACTTTTTGCATGTGATATAGTGGGAGAAAAATCTCATGGGTATTCAAGGAGGAACTCAAATTGTTTTCTTTTTTTATTATCATCATCTGATTTTTCACCCCTAGGTAAGATGGTAGGCAATAAAGGTACAAAAAATAAAGACACAAAGGCCTGCCCTAAATAAAAGTACATTATCAGGGAGATTGGCACATAGTATAAATAAAATATAAGATACATGCAAGACAATATAAATTGCAAAATTATCACAGTTCTGCCACCAAGTAGTTGTGTGTCCTTAGGCAAATTGCTTATTCTGTGAGGTAAAATTATAAAATTAAAATTCATAGGCAGTGTATGAATTTATTATTCTAACCATTGGATGGCCTGCTCTGCTAATGGATGGCCCTTCCATATTAGTAAATGCCAATATATCTGCAAAAATTATTATATTAATTAGTTCTAGGGAAATTAAGTACAGTGGGGCCTTGACTTACGAGTGTCCCGACTAACGAGTTTTTCGAGATACGAGCCGTCTCTAGGCCGATTTTTTGCTTTGAGTTGCGAGCTAAAATTCGGGTTACGAGCCAGCTTCGGATACCCCACCGCTAGTTGGCGCAGCGAACGTCACAGTGAACGCCACAACATCAGCCCAGCATCACGCGTCTCACTCGTTCACTTTAAGATTTGACATACGAGTAATTTGAGTTATGAGCTCCGTCACGGAACGAATTAAACTCGTAAGTCAAGGTCCCACTGTATAAACAACCAAAGAAAGATAAAAACCAGCAACTGAAATTGAAAATTAGACAATGAGAAAAATCAGTTATATGTGTTTCACTGGCACCACTAGATGATTTTTTTTCATTGGCTGCCAGTCTGCTATTTGTAGTCAGGGGACAAGTCTGCGAAATATCCTTATGTGCTTGGTCAGCATTTTGGTGTCCTCCTGGCTGGAATGTGATCTACAGCAGCAAACTGATGGACACAGCCAGGTTAGGGTTCAGGGGAAATGGCTGGGGCTTGATTAGTGACAATTTCAGTTGAAAGGTGAGTCTGAGAGATGTTAAGTGATGCACAAAGATACACAGCTCATTAATGACAAAGCAAAGATGAGAAATTCCCCAACGCCATGAAATGCAGGGTATGTGTATCTGGGCTTCTCCACCAGCACCGGCATGAGGATACTGGGAGATGTCGCTCCTCCACCAAACACCCAAAATGGAAATTAGATCACCCTCCAAGGTTCATGATTCAAACGATCAAAACTTAATAATCACGAGTGCCCTCAGCGGTCCCAGATCTATCTCTTGCTTCAACAGTGTTTGGATGGACCAACCCATGGACACCCCTTCTTCCAGCCTCCAGCCACTCACCTGCGTCTTATCCAGTCACCATCTTCAGAACCACTTCCGGGACGAGCCAACACACCAGTGTGTTTTTTTTCTACCTTAACTCCTTGCTGCCAAACAACCATGAGCTCACAAATTCATCAGAATTATTCCACCCAGGTGGTGGCTGCGGTCAACCGCCTGGCCAACCTGCATCTGCCGGCCGCCCACACCTACCTCTCTTTGGGCTTCTATTTCTACCTGGATCATGTGGCTTTCGAGGGCATGGGCCGCTTGTTCCGTGAGTTGGAAGAAGCATCTCTAAAGTTGCAAAACAAGCGTGGTGGCCGCATTCCCTTCCAGAACGTGCTGAAGCCATCTCTGGCCTTGAAGAGGAGCCTGAACCAGGCCCTTTTGGAGCTGCCGGCCCTGAGTTCTACCCACACAGACCCGCAGCTCTGTGACTTCCTGGAGAACCACTTCCTGGGTGAGGAGGTGAAACTCATCAAGAAGATGGGTGATCACCTGACTATCCACAGGCTGGCCGGCCCCCAGGCTGGGCTGGGAGGGTATCTCTTCAAAAGGCTCACCCTCAAGCACTGCTAGCACATTGTATGCAGGAAACTTATTTATACGTTTTACATTGACTCTAAGTAGTAGAGTGGGACACGTATTAATACGTTTTTTATAGACTAGCAGTAGAATGCGGGTAACGTATAAATACGTAAAGTAAAGTTATCGTAATTTTATGTTGCCATTTGTGCAAAAAATTAGCAAAAATGGCCCGCGCCACCTGTTATCCCGCAATAAAAACTACCCGCAAACAATGTGCTAGGAGCCTTTGGAGCCCAGGGGCCTTTGAGGGGCCCCTCTGCATCCCCTGGTGTCTGGCTTTTCCCTGAGCCTTTCCCCAAAACTACTAGCCATTCTTTTAACCACCCTGGAGCCTTCTGGACCAAATGAAACTATAAAGCTTTCTACAGCAAATAAATAAAAAAAAATTAATAATCACAACAGCCATATGTTTTGTCACCTTAAAGAGAGTTGCTTTATAATATAACTAGAGGCCCAGTGCACAACATTCATGCATAGATAGGGTCCCTAGGCCTGGCTGGCGATCAGAGCCGATCTGTGAGGTGACCAGCGGGGTGATCGGGGGCTCCTGCTGGCACTGGCCTTGGCTGGCCTGGCACCACCTA